ACTTGACGCTCACCTGTTTGCAGAATCTTAAGAAGCCGATGGAGTAGCTCATCCCAACCAGACAACACGTTCCGTACAGACAGCTTGACCTGAGTAGACAGCAGGAGGTAATGTGTTAGTGTGTCAGGCCAAAGCTGAATTAGGTTTATTGGACAGCAGAGACAGGAGCACGGTTTATAGATAGATTAGGAGTCAAACAAAACAGAAAAACAAATAATGAGAATTATATTGTGTGATATACAAGGAGAGAAAATGATCTGTCAATGTTATGAGCCGTTTAATATCAAGTAGTCTCCATTTTTATGATAGAAGCAGCTCTGCTCAGAGTTCTGTCTGCTAGTTTAAGTTATTAGATTGTGGTTTATGTTAGTTCTAGTGTGCAGGAACCAAATTGTGATTGGTGGGTCAGAAAACCCCACACACCTGGATATGCTTATGTAGAAAACACAAATACAAAAGCTGAGATCTTCTCATTTTCACCACACGCACACACACTATATTTACAGGGAGTGTTTTAAGTGCAATGCAGTGAGTTTAATTTTACTTCAGATGGCTAAATTAACAAAATCTAAACAAATGTTTAAATAAAACACATTAACTTTACCTTTTTAACTTAGAAACACTTCAAACTCCAAATTTATAATTAAAGGGGCAATATTATGTGTTTCTCAGGCATATATTTAAATTCTATACCACAATAAAGTATCTCTGTCACCTTCAGTCGTTATTAAAATACTGTTTTCTTTAAATAGACAAACTTGTCTTCTCATCATTTCCTGTTCTAAACACCTTGAAATTGGCTTCTGTCTCTTTAAGAACCTCCTTCCGCTTCTGTRCCGCCCATTTCGCGGGGGGTGGGGTGTGTGTGTGCTGTGATACGGCAGCTCAGCGTAGTTTACTTGGCATCTGAAAATACATTTCCTCAAAGGCATTTTGAATCTGTAAAGGGCTGCACTGAGAAGTAGTGTTAGCTCAGCAGACAGCTTCAGTTTCACCAGTTGTTGCTGTGGAGAACCTGCTGGGGAGGTGCGTACTGTGATCAGGAAGCTCAGCTTGGAGCTGATCCTAAAAGGCGGCTCTAGTCCCAACCGGTTGTTTTTGCTCCCCTGCCTGGCTGCCTCAGGACAGCAGAAGATTTCTCAAACATGCATGAATGAGTCAAAGTAAGACTCTGGGCATCTTTTTGATGAGAGAATAACATTATAACATGATATAAAACTCAAAAACAGTTGATTTTACATGATAGAGCCCCTTTTACATTTACAGATGTGACATTGGCAGCACCAATGTGTGTGTACTTGTTTCTACATCTGTCTGTCTGTCTGTCTGTCTCTTATATAACTTTTTTAAAAATGGTTAAATTTTTTTGTGGTCGGTTCAGATTAGATTAGATGAAGATAAATCTGTTTCATGTTATGACCCAGACATATTTTAACACATTTAGGGGTGTTGGCAACAAACCCTTTGTGTTTTGTGGATTACTGGGTGGGGTGTTTATGGATAGGAAAAGAAAAAACACAAAATTGCTGTTGGAGGTGTGTCAAAGAATAAAACATAATACCAAAATGAATGTAAGTCAAATAAGTGTGTGCATAACATGTGGATAAGAAATCCTTCTGAGTACAATATTTATTTTCCTCAATCTTTGTTTAACCGGGTAAATCCCATTGAGATCACAGATCCTTTTTTCAAGAGAGGTCTGGGCCTGAAGGCAACCTAACATGTATGTTTTACATGTGTAATACGTAGACTGAGTTCACTCACTGTATGGGTTTCCCTCGAATCTCTGACATGATTGCACTCTCTCCTCCAAGATACTCAAAGGACAGGCTCAGGAAGTTGTATATGACAAAAGCTGTAACAAAAAAAAACTTTTAATGTCAAACACATTTCAATGCATGATTTCAACAAACATTTCTATATTTTTTTATCCTTTATAAGTATTACTTTATTGTGAAGGTCAAATAATTTCGGAAGGAAATGAACTTATCTTCTATAAAAACATAATTAGTCCAACATTTTGGAACAATGAATGTTTCAGGTCCTACATTAAGAAGCTTCTGAGGGTTCTGTGTCTCAGAAATCCCTTCCTAATCCTTTGTTGCTATTTAAGGGAGGATTAAATGAAGCGAATGCAGATGGTGTCCAGTAAAGAGAAGGATCATTATGTTTTAGCCGCAGCTGCTTATGGTATTCCAGTTACCCTGATTCCTGATGCTCTGTACTATCAATCAGCTATAAACCTGGTCTGCAAACAGAAAGTAATCAGTCCAATTTAATCTTACAAATTGCTAGTAATCCCATTTGCATATGATTCACCCTTGCATTTGGTGAAGTACTTTGGTCTTATGACTACATTCATTATATTAGTATCTTGAGAAATGATTGTGGAAACTGACATAAATTGTGCAAAACATTCAGCGTGTTTTCAAGTGTAAAGCACAGCTCATGAATTAAGGATGAAAATCAAAACGAAAAAATAAGTAGGRCCTCTGGACGGGTTCTTCTGTGGAAAACGTAACACTGCTCATTTGGGACAGCGTAGGAACGAAGGTGTGTGTAGATCTGCAAGGACGGATGCTTCTAAAATTACACCTAGAAATTTTACACCTAAGATAACGAGGTCTTCCTTTATGAAAACCAAGTCTGGAATGAAGAACGTGTTTGGCCACTTTCTTGTCTTTCTGTTCTCAGCAGCCAACTGCAATACGAGGGGAGGAAAAACAACCGAGGCCGTCTACGAAAGAACAAGGCCAAGCAGATTCTTTGCGCTTGGAGATGCGTACCTTCGTAGCAGTCCCGAACGGAGTCAAAGTACACGTAGTACTGGTCGTTGCTGATGAACAGGAGGCTGAGCCATGAATCAAAGGCATAAACCGGGACGATGAACAGGATGCGGATAATGTAACGCTGCTCATTTGGGACAGTGTAGGAACGAAGGTGTGTGTAGATCTGCAACCAAACAGAAAGAATAGAAAATAACATTAGTGAACAAGAACACTGTTGTTGAGGTGAACTCTAAACTCATAAAACATGCTAATGAATAACACATGAGTCTTGTACATGATTAGATTTAGATAATTGGTGTGTTTATGGGTAATGACACGTGGGTAATGACAGTGAGACCTGGAGGGGCGTGATRGGGAGGAACACCCCCCCACCCCCCGATCTGAACCTGAGCGGTGTTTTGTTATTGGACTTCTGTGCTCGTCATGGATTGTCCATAACAAACACCATGTTCAAGCATAAGGGTGTCCATATGGGCTCCTGGCACCAGGACACCCTAGGCCGCAGTTCGATGATCGACTTTGATGCCGTTTCATGTGATCTGCGGTCGCATGTCTTGGACACTCGGGTGAAGAGCGGGGCGGAGCTGTCAATTGACCACTACCTGGTGGTGAGTTGGCTCTGGTGGTGGGGGACTCTAAAAACTGTGCTATATATTCCGGACCCCTAATCTCAATAAGACCTGGATCCAATAAGCAGATAAAGAAAGAAGAAAAAAACATGATGGTACCATCAAGTCTACTGGTGTAATTAATCAACAATGTGCTCTGATGAGTTTCAAACACGTTTGGTTTGAACTTGAGCCATTTTAATTTCACAGTGAATGTGAAAGCACTACGCACGTTCTGTCTGGTGTGAATCACACACACGCAGGCGCAATGGTAAATGATAAATGAACTGACCTTAAAGCACTTCACACATTCACACACTGATCGCGAAGCCACAGCTGCCCGACAGAGGCAGGGCTTCCATGCACTGGCACCACCGGACCCTCTGACCACCATCAGTAGGCAAGGTTTCCCCAAGGACACAACGACTAAGATGGCTGGCATGGGTGATTGAACCGACAACTCCCATAACCACTCTGCCACAGCCACACAATTTAATAACTGGATTCGTGAAATTTTGTAGATAATCCTTTCCTTTTGAAACTTTTCTGACCTGGAATTGGATTTATTGTTTGTTACTGATGAAATCCTCATTGTGTTCTATGATCATCAGCTCAGGCTGAAAAATGTTCATGCCTCGTTTTATTTTTGTGTGTATTTTTTTTAAATATTCATTTGAAAAACTTTATTGTGCACAGAGGAATCACTGTTTGCTTCCAGGAACGTAAAGCTCTTCCTGTTTCTTCCATTCAATTTTATATGTTTGTTATGCTATAAAGAAGAAAAGATAACAACWAAATAAGCTGATTCTGATTCTTTTTGTTTAAAAGTCCATGTCTTTATGAAGAAAAAGTGAGCAGCTCCCTAATGAAAACTACAGACTGAACCTCAGGGTTCTCCCATCACTGCTTCTCCATCCAATCCAGTCTGGGTAAATATATACCCACAGCTGCTGCTGATTCATCTGTTATTGTGATTGTGTACTAAATGAAGATCACAGATCACATTTTATGACCATTTATGGCCACAATCTACCTTTTTCCAGGAGGTTTACAATACATATCCCTGCATTTTGAACATATTGCAGCTGTATTTCTCAATTATTACACGACATTTAGTCTCTTTAATCATTAACTATTTTCCCCCAAACACTCTTAGTAAGGAAAGAAAATACAAGTAAATTAGCAGTTCTTCAATACAGAAGTTCTAAAGTGACATAAAGCCTAAAGCTGATCTTTAGAAAAAAAAAAACCTCCAGGAGATCCATTTTTATATTTTACATTTGAAGTACTTTACAACCATTTTATCTTCTGTGACTGTTTGGTCTGCATTTATGAAATGCAGCCACAAGATTATCTCCAACGAGAAGAGATTGCTCAACTTCCATTTAACAACTTCCCAGAACATCCCTTCTTTAAACCCATATGCCACACCTCATATAACGCACAGCTAGCTTTATTTTCATGCAGAAGCAGACAGTAACAGTAGTTAGTCGCTTTCCTGAGCTGGTAAAGGTTTTCACCCTTTGCACATACACACAACTCTCCCACATGACCCCTGTAAATGGAGTGTGATTCACCTGACAGGTTTAGGAAATACACACAACAGGAAGTCCAGTCATAAGACTTGATGGTGACCTTTAGGCTTTGGACATGACGTCAGATGGTTAACGTTTGGGAGAACGGTTTTGTATACCAGTTACGTTAAAATGCAGTATAAAACTGTGACTAAAAAGTGGCAGCTTTTCTATAACAATGTTGTGCAAATAGAATACAGAACGATATGTTTGTTAGAAAGAGGAAATAATTGTTCCTTTAAGAGCCCTCAGGCAGTAAAATGTGACTGTTGTGTCTAATGCGATCACAGGTAACGCTGGTGTTAAAAATATTGAAGCGGGGGCGCCTCGATGGGTTTTGTAATTATAATTTAAACCCAAGATCAAATAAATAACATTCTTATTAGACAGATACTAGAATCTCTTCAACTAAGAAATGTCATTACGCTTCAAAGATGAATAAAGTTGTGCATTAAAAATCCTCCATCCGTGGTTCTTATTAAGAGTTCACAGCATATTACAGAGGATTATCGTGGAGCCAGAGATCATTGTAATCACATCGTTATTCATCATAAGGACGTGAGAAAAGGCTGAAAAAGTAATTTCGCATAAAACCATTCACAAGGTTTGACCAAAACTGCAATAACCTTGTTGTTTTATTTCCAACTCTGGCATGAAAAATAGTGTAAGTAAAATAATTAGCACATTTTATCATATTGGATTTAGAKAATCAAATACTTTGGTTATGTTTTGGATGACTTTAACGTAAAATTGATCATTTTATAAYAAAAAAGTTAAAAGACTAAGTTCTGCTTTACAGCAGTCTCTCCCCTCAGCACAAGCAGCATCATTAATTGTGCATTAGAGGATGCACATTAAATCCTGCTTACTGTGAGGGTGGGTGGTGTGAGGCATTTCTTCAKGTAGACTGATGTCCTCTGGTTGACAACGCAACAACATAAAAAAAAAATCAATGTTCTGCTTCTAAAACAGTAACCTCCAAAGATGACTCAACAATTGCCCCCCAGCTACGACTTGTTTCTACAATTTCTGCAGCGACACAAGATGAAAGAATAACAAAAATGTAACACGTTGTAGGGAATCTAAAACAGACACGTATCTGCATATAGTCTCTAAAGATGTGTGCCACGTGCAAACAATGTGCAGTCATCTGGGAGAGAGTAAAAACTGATCTAATGCTCCTAATCCTCAACGCTTCATGTTGCAAAGGGACTAATAAGACCACCGTGAAAAATAAGCAGCGCTCCTTGGATTATGAGTTAGAAAAGCAGTGGCAACATCACAGCAAAAATAAATAAATAAAAATAAAAAAGGTGAAAAAAATCTAAGGTCATTCTTGATCTGTGCTTAGTATTCAGAAAGTGCATTTAAGAGTCTATAGCAATCCTCTGGGGCAAAAACTCAGATGAAACACTAGCAGCATTATAACACGAATCTAGCAGACACTTTTATTCCCCAAGTGTGACACAAAAGATGCCCGTTGCAAACCGGCTCCATCCTCCCAGCGGAAAAAAAAAAACTCGCTATTTATTTGTTCAATTAAAATGTCTTGCTGGCAAGTGTTTGGCCAAACACGTACTATATTAAAAAGATAGAAACCAATTTGCCGCACATCGAGTTACAAATCCCTAAACGAGGCCTGCCGTTGTTGTTGCGTCCCCCTCCCTCCCTCCTCGAAATGTACAGATTACTCAATAATTATTTCCACCACAAAGCATACAAACACATGGCAACATAAAACGTATAGACAGGCTTTAAAGGATGCCGTGTGGATGCGCGTTCAATAATATCGATGCAACATTTTTAAACAAAGGGAGACTATTAAAGCTGAACAAGGAAAACAACAACCTCATCTATTACAAAGCCCAACGTATTATCTCTCCGTCAACTGATTTCCCCGCCGATAAAACAGCACTCCTCTGCAATCTCTGCAAATGATAAGAAAAAAATGGTAATGATAAGCCATCATCTGAGCACAGCGGGCAACTCCTGCACCCAAGAGGAAACGCTCGTTTTCCAACAGTGATGAAACTGTTGTGGATAGAAGGTGGTCCGCCTTGAGACATTTCTTCCTCCTGGCCATCAACTTCTCCCGCGCAGATTGTTTTTATCCCATTGTGTTCAGCCAGGTGGGTTTTATTTTCTCTCTCCTTTTTGTTTTCCTGGCCCAGTTTAATCTCAGCTCTCTTTTGCTCATAAAGTAAGCAAAACTTTCCCACCTCGCAGTAACGGCTCGCAAGGGGAACCGGTGCACAAACACCTGCCTGAAACCAAACGACTACTTTCAGAGCACATAAGAAAGTTTCAGGGAATGAAAGAAATCAGATGCAATGTCGTTCTGACTTCAGGCATGGGAGGAGGCAGTAAGTCCTTTCACATTACGATTGCACATTTACATAACAGTGGGTGCAGTGCTTTAAAGGTGTGTTTCAAGATGTCGGAGTTTGATTTTTTTTTTTTTCTGATGGGGAGTTAAAAAAAATCTCAGAGGCTGTATGTGGAAGTAGTACCTGGTGGCATGTTATGAGCAGGGCAGACCAGACAAAGATCCCTGTGAGGGCCTGGGCGATTGTGGTGTTTAAAAACATCTGGCCCTCGATGATGGACCCGTTCCTCGTTCGAATAATCGTCATGTTGTCCGACTGGTCGGGGAGAATCGGGGCATCCAGGTGGATGATTGAAACGTTCTCGGTGGTGTTCATCTGAGAAAAAAACACTACAGGTTAAATAAAAAAACACTTTAATAGAGAATTTTATTTAAAGCTTTAAGGAGAACTTTAACTTATATGTGACCCATCACATCGAAACGAGGATTAAGTCTAAAAGTGGTATATGGAGAAATAGGCAAATATAGTGTTTTGATTAAAATGTTAACAAAAATTGCATTTTGTCAAAATATAATGAATAAATGCCTTATCAATTTGAATGAATTGTCTGAAATATAATCATAAAACAAAATTTTGAAGCATTTTTTTGAGCAGTAGCAACAAAAAAACTGATTTTGAGGGAAAATTATTTAAAATTTTAAGATTTTACCTGTGAGCTAGCAAAGTTTTGTTTCTTTCCAGCTGGGAAATCTCAATAATCAAATAAAATTTGAGGTTTTCTCTTTATACTACATCAAAAATTTCTCATCAAAATGACATAAAATAAGGATTCAGACCAAATATTTATGTATTATTGTAACCAACAAGACAAATTAAGTCATATATATGGATTTAATAATGACATCAGAATGATCCAGGTATCAAAATGTAGCTTTTAAAGCCAAGAATCTGAAAATGTAATTAGGTCATTTTGAACAAATTTGACTTAATCCTCATTTTGATCTGATGGGTCACATATTATTTTAAGGAAACAGAAATGCAAATCTTCCTGTGTGGAGCGTCTCTCACCGTGCTGTCAACAAAAGGCTCACCTTGTCCCGAGAGCAGCTTGATCCAGTTTAGACGTCTCTGGCTGCCAACAAACAGCCCAGGGTTGTGACAGGTCAGCGGGACAGGGACAGGATCAGCAACATCGAGAAGAAAAGCCGGGTTTCAGAACAACGAGCCGCGGGCATTTCGGTCCTGCCACCTACGAAAGATGTTTTCGCGTCGTAGACGACGAATTCAACTTCCTCGTTTGAAGCAGGTGCCTGGAGGTCGAAGTCCACAGCGCAATCAAAAAAGTAAACAAACCCGAAATAAAAACTGTCAAATTAACGCAAATACAAACTGCACACGGTAAAGTTTATTCCTCAAAGCTCCCACGCGCAAAATAAAGAGAAAAAATATGTCTATGAAGGACAGAGGTTTGAATTTCTGCCTCGACAACTCGCTAGTACGGAAAGAGGTTGGGCACAGGTGAAGGTGTCACGTGGGTGGCCTCGGTTCCGATGGTGACGTCATGACGTTCCCTCCTCAGGAAGCGCAGGGCTGTGTTTGTTGTTGGGAGTGACATTCAGACTGGAACAGGACCAAAGAGCAGACAGGTTAAACACCTTCTTTAATGTGCGGACTGTCTGTTATTCTCTGACACTATTAAAAGTGATTACCACAAACTATGTTGCCCATTTTGCTTGCGTGCTGAACATGCAGCTGGTTTCTCCCTAGATTGAAACACCTCGGAGGTTTTCACTGTTGTAATCAGAGATGTAAAGCAACTAAGTACAAATACTTCTTTACTGTACTTAAGTAGAATTTTTGGGTATCTGTATGTATTTGAGTAATTATTTTTCAGCCTACTTTTTACTTCTACTTACATTTTCACACATACTGTATCTACTTTCTTCTCCTTACCTAAAAAGCAAGAAGMAGAAAGTTGTTACTTTTATTTCATTTTTGCTTATTTCATTCCAGTGTGTTATTGTAAAAAATAAATACTGTACATATAAATTATGTCTCCTAGATAGAGTGAATTTAACACACACATTTTATATATATACAGTACACACACAC